CATTGCACTTACTCTAAAATTGACCACATAATTCGAAGCAAATCACTCCTCAGCAAATGCAAAAGAATGGAAATCATAACGAACAGTCTATCAGACCACAGCACAATTAGATTAGAATGAAGGATTAAGAAACGGACTCAAATCTGCACAACTACTTGGAAACTGAACAACTTGCTTCTGAGTGTTGACTGGATAAACCATGAAATGAAGGCAGAAATAAAGATGTTTTTTGAAACCAACTTGAATGAAGACACAACTTACCAGAATCTCTGGGACACCTTTAAAGCAGTGTCTAGAGGGAAATTTATAGCAATAAATTGCCACATGAGAAACAAGGAAAGATCTAAAATCAACACCCTACAATCTAAATTGAAAGCCTTAGAGGAACTAGATCAAAAAGAACTCAAAAGCTAGCAGAAAACAAGAAGTGACTAAGATCAGAGCCAAACTGAAGGAGATAGAGACAAAAAAACCCTTCAAAAATCAGTAAATCCAGGAGCTGGTTTTTTGAAAAGATCAACAAACTAGACAGACCACTAGCCAGATTAATAAAAAAGAAAAGAGAGAAGAATCAAATAGATGCAATAAAAAAGTGATAAAGGGGATATCACCACTAATTCCACAGAAATACAAACTACCATCAGAGATTACTAGAATCAACTCTATGCACACAAACCAGTAAAACTGGAAAAAATGGATAAATTCCAGGACACTTGCACTCTACCAAGACTAACCCAGGAAGAAGTTGAAACTCTGAATAGACCAATAACAAGGACTGAAGTTGAGGCAGCAGTCAATAGCCTACCAACCAAAAAAAGTCCAGGTCCAGATGGGTTCACAGCCAAATTCTTCCAGATGTACAAGGAGGAACTGGTTTCCTTCTTCTTAAACTATATCAAACAATTCAAAAAGAGGGAATCCTCCCTAACTCATTTTATGAGACCAACATCATCCTGATACCAAAACCAGGCAGAGACTCAACTGAAAAAGAAAACTTCAGGCCAATATCCATGATGAACATAGATGCAAAAATCTTCAATAAAATACTGGCAAACCAAATGCAACAGTACATCAAAAAGATATTTCATCACAATCAAGTAGGCTTCATCCCCGGGATGCAAGGTTGGTTCAACATATGCAAGTCCATAAATGCAATACATCATATAAACAGAACCAGAGACAAAAACCACATGATTATCTCAATAGATGCAGAGAAGGCCTTTGACAAAATTCAACAGCCCTTCATGAAAGTATCTCAAAATAATAAAAGCTATTTATGACAAACCCTGAGCCAATATAATACTGAACAGGCAAAAGCTGGAAGCATTCCCTTTGAAATCAGGCACTAGACAAGGATGTCCGCTCTCACCACTCCCATTCAATATGGTATTGGAAGTTCTAGCCAGAGCAATCAGGCTAGAAAAAGAAATAAAGCATATTCAATTAGAAAAGGAGGAAGTCAAACTGTCTCTATTTGCAGATGACATGATTGTATATTTAGAAGACCCCATCGTCTCAGCCCAAAATCTCCTCAAACTGATAAGCAACTTCATCAAAGTCTCGGGATACAAAAATCACAAGAAATTGCTTGTGCAGAAATCAAAAGCATTCCTATATACCAATAACAGACTAACAGAGAGCCAAATCATGAGTGAACTCCCATTCACCATTGCTGCCAAGAGAATAAAATACCTAGGAATACAACAAACAAAGGATGTAAAGGACCTCTTCAAGGAGAACTATAAATCACTGCTCAAGGAAATAAGGGAAGACATAAACAGATGGACAAACATTCCATGCTCATGGTTAGGAAGAATCAATATCGTGAAAATGGTCATACTGCCCAAAGTAATTTGTAGAATCAATGCTATCCCCACCAAGCTACCAATGACCTTCTTTACAGAACTAGAAAAAACCATTTTAAACTTCATATGGAACCACAAGAGAGCCCACATAGCCAAGACAATCCTAATCAAAAAGAACAAAGTCACAAGCATCACACTGCCAGACTTCAAATTATACTACAAGCCTACAGTAATCAAAACAGCATGGTACTGGTACCAAAACAGAGACATAGACCAATGGAACAGAACAGAGGCCTCGGAAGCAACACCACACATCCACAACCCTCTGATTTTGACAAACCTGACAAAAACAAGCAATGGGGAAAGGAGTCCATGTTTAATAAATGATGTTGTGAAAATAGGCTAGCAATGTGCAGAAAGCAGAAACTGGACCCCTTCTTGACAACTTACACTAAAATTAATCCCAGATGAACTAAAGATTTAAACATAAAAAAACTCTAGAAGAAAACATAGTCAAAACCATCCAGGACATAGGCATAGGCAAGAACTTCATGACTAAAACACCAAAAGCAATGGAAATAAAAGCCAAGATAGACAAATGGGATCTAATTAAAATTCAGAGCTCTGTACAGCAAAAGAAACAATCATTAGAGCAAATCAGCAACCAACAAAATGGGAAAAAAGTTTTTGCAATCTACCCATTTGACAAAGGGCTAATATCCAGAATTTACAAAGAACTAAAACAGAGATACAAGAAAAAACAAACAAACCCATTCAAAAGTGGGTGAAGGAGATGAACAGAAACTTCTCAAGAGAAGACATACATGAGGCCAACAAACATATGAAAAAATGCTCATCATCACTGGTTATTAGAGAAATGCAAATCAAACCACATTGAGGTATCATCTCGTGCCAGTTAGAATGGTGATCATTAAAAAATCTGGAGACAGATGCTGGAGAGGATGTGGAGACATAGGAACACTTTTACACTGTTGGTGTGAGTGTAAATTAGTTCAACCATTGTCGAAGATAGTGTGGCGATTCCTCAAGGATCTGGAAATAGAAATTCCATTTGACCCAGCAATCCTATTACTGGATATATACCCAAAGGATTATAAAGTATTCTATTATAAAGACACATGCACAGGCATGTTCTTGCGGCAGAGTGTACAATAGCAAAGACCTGAAACCAACCCAAATGCCCATCAATGATAGACTGGACAAAAAAAATGTGGCACATATACACCATGGACTACTAGGCAGCCATAAAAAACAATGAGTTCATGTCCTTTGTAGGGACTTGGATGAATCTGGAAACCATAATTTTCAGCAGACTGACACAAGAACAGAAAATCAAACACCGCATGTTCTCACTCATAGGTGGGTGTTGAACAATGAGAACATGTGGACTCAGGGAGAGGAGCATCACACACTGGGGGCTGTTTGGGGGGCCTAGGGGAAGGACATTGGCGGGTGGGGATGGTAGGGAAGGATAACATGGGGAGAAATGCCAGATATAGATGCAGGGGGAATAGAGGCAGCAAACTACCTGGTTATATATGCACCTATGCAGCAACCCTGCATTACCTGCACATGTACCCCAGAACCTAAAGTATAACAATTTACTGATTTCTGCTCCTTCTTCTCTGATAGATGAAAATCTCTTTGTGTCTTCCTCAATTTTGTATGCAAAGGTTTTGGATATTTAGTAAAGGAATGAATAAGTGGGCCTTACAAAAATAAAAATCCTTGGATTTACAATGAATACTAAATCAGGCATTAATAAGAAATTTCCAGAATGGAGGAGTAAGAAACTCTATTAAGTTCACCTCTCCAAAAGAACAGAAAAAGCACTGGCAAAATTGTCAAGATTAACTTTTAGAACTCTTAAAATTGATCAAAAGCTCACAACAACCTGAAGAGTGTTTATTCAAGAAAAACTGATGATGTTCTGCAAGACAGAGGCATATCAATTTGGCCTACCTTTCTAGTTCCACAGCAGCCTTGAAATCCAACAGCCTCTAAACAATAGAAGTTGTAAAACCACTGGAGCTGGCTGACCAGGTTTGGAGTTCCTCAGAAGGTCCATCCCCAGAGCTTTGTCACTGTTCTACCTGTGTGTCTAGTAGCTTCCTGGAAAAGCCTCACTCAAAGGGCTTTTCATTATTTGACTTGACTGAGCACTCACTTGGTGGGAAAAAAAGTCTATCTCTAGGGCATTTGTGGAAAATAATCAGAAGATTGTTTAACATTGTGACTTCCTAAGGCTGTGGACACTAGTTTGGACAAATAAGAACATGAACAACAATTTTAAAGGACCTGGAAAATTCAATGTTCTTAGGCAGCTCTGAGAAGCTCTAACATATCCTTGCAATGTAGAGTTTACATATGTGTATAGGGCTGTGTGCATATCCAGGAAAGTCCTCAGAAAGTCCCACTATCTCTCCTCTGGTGGACCTCAGGCCCTGTGCAAGCAGGAAATGAAGGCTAAGGTAGAGTTGTAAACTGCCTGAGCATTGAAGACATGCCTCCAAACCCATGGAAGACCCTTGGCAAGAATGGAAGATGTACTGGCTCCAGGCTTTAAAGAAATTGCTAACCAAATATTAGTTGATGACTAAGCTCACTAAACAGAGATTTCAGTGGCTGTGCATTCTAGGGAAATGAAAATTTTACCATATATTAGTCCAGGTAAGTCACTAAGGAACAAACAACAACTGCAAGAAAAACCAGTAACAACAAACTGTGGGTTGGAGGTGGGAAGGTCTGGTTTCCAGAGTTTTCACATTAAGTTATCTAAAGTATATGGTTTCTAATCAAAAATATGAGACATGCAAAGAAATAAAAAATTATAGCCTGTGCATAGGAGAAAAAAATCAATAGAAACTATCCCTGAAGGAGCTCAGATATTGGACTTACTGCATCAGTCATTTACAGAGCCATTAGAGATATCTAGATTTTTAAAATAAGACAAGAGCAGCTAAAAAATGATCATCATTAGTGTTCCTTGTGATTCTTGATACAGATTGTTTTACAGAATTATTGCCTTCAATTTTGAGCATCTGTGTGTGTGTGTGTGTGTGTGTGTGTGTGTGTGTATATATATATATGCACTAATAATGCAATTCAAGGGATTATTTGGAAGTGTTTTAGATAAGTCTCTAAACAGCCTTTATGTTTTAATATCTTTTTCAGGCCCTCCAGTTAATGTCACATGCAACATATTCATCAACAGCTTTGGCTCTATTGCAGAGACGACCATGGTAGGCATTTTACTTTGCAACAAGTTTCACACTATAGTAATCTGTAATTGCATTAATGGCAACTCTTCTGCTCATTTTACGAAATTTAGAACACAAATTAATATAACGAGATTTTAAGAGTAAAATTGATAGTATAATTAAATTATGATCACCTGCAGGTAATAACGTTTCAGTTAGAGATGGTATATTAGAATATATTAATATAAGTGAAAACAACATTGAGTTTCCAATTTACCAATCTAATATTAAACCTCAATTTACAGCTAAAATGTCACCATATCCTTTATTTTTTCCAATACTCTTTAATATTCAGACATAAGCAGAGTAGTAAATACTTACATGTTTACTCTGTACCTCACTTACAGATTTATGTTATTTTAAATATTCAATTTGATTATTTTTCCCAATGAACACAGTATTTGCCAAAACATTATACTTAGAGATTTTATCAACTGTATTTGAAAAGTTATTAAAACCTGAAAAACATAAAAATTGTCATTACAGACCAAATTTCTTCTGTCTTGAATTTTATAATTTTTTTAATTGCATGTCAGGTTTTGGGGTACATGTGAAGAACATGCAAGATTGTTGCATAGGTACACACATGGCAGTGCGATTTGCTGCCTTCCTCCCCTTCACCTATATCTGGCATTTCTCCCCATGCTATCTCTCGCCACCTTCCCACCCCCCCATCCCTCCCCCATTTCCCCCCAACAGACTCCAGTGTGTAGTGCCCCCCTCCCTGTGTCCATGTGGTACGTATACACCATGGAATATTACGCAGCCATAAAAAACGATGAGTTCGTGTCCTTTGTAGGGACATGGATGAACCTGGAAACCATCATTCTCAGCAAACTGACACAAGGGCAGAAAATCAAACACCGCATGTTCTCACTCATAGACGGGTGTTGAACAATGAGAACACACATGAATTTTATAATTTTTTTCTAAAGAGCACATGTATCTCACTTTCCCCATTAGCTTTTATTGGGCAATTTAACTGTAATAAAATGCAGAAATAGACAAATAAACCACTGAACATCCATAAAATTTTCTAGCAGCCAAGTTACTTTTTTTGAAACTGTGTTCATGATGAGTCTTAAATTAGATAGAATTATATTTTTAAAGGTAGCAAGTAGAGTTTGCAATACTTCTCACAGTTAATATTAACTAAAAGATAATATAAAATACTTAAGGATTTATTATTTTCAAAAACTATTAAGAATTATGTTCATTTTAGCTGTCTTAGAATAGTAAATAAATAGTAAATTTTCTAAGGAAAAGCAATTTAATATGCAAATTATTACATGAATTACGGTGCAAGTGCGTGTGGGGGGGCGGTGTGTGTTGGAATCAAGGAGAGGTTTTCTACAGGCATCGTTTAAAACAAGTGCTTTTTCCTCTTGTATGCAATATTAAGCCATTTAGCAGTGTCTCTGTGGTTCTACTCAAAGTTAATATAGCTTAACTATAATAAAGCATTTGCAGAAAGGAACCAAACTTAAATTTGGAGGCATTATATAGAATTATCTTCAATAGGATACAATATCAGTTAACATGAATGTGTGTATATGAGTGTAAAAGCAAAGAAGGTGCATGTAATTTGGTTAGAAGCAGTGTGGTCCTGGTGCAATTTTCTTCTCTAAAGCAGCTATAATCCTGTTTTAGACTTTGATGTATTCTAGGTTCTTGTGGGAAAATGTGGCCCTGATTTATGTCCAACATTTGTACATATTCAATCTATATAATCCACAGAAGAAGGGATCACTACTGGCTTTGTTCTATTTAGACTTCACAAATTGTATTTCTAGCCCTAGCAATGTTCTCATTTCATTTCTATATGTATATAATCCTAAAAACCTGGAAATATACTTTTCTCTATTTTTTGCATGATTATTTCCACGGAATACTTTCCACAGCAATAGTTGGAATAATTTAAAGCCTTATCCATCTTCATGAGGTAGGGAGGGAAGAAACTTGGCAAAAAAGAGAGGGCATAGCCAGATTTCCTTTCCATTAAGACTTAAAGATTGCCAGTTTTCTGAAAGTGCCTGTTTTTATGATATAATTCAGCAGTCTACCACAAAAATGGCTATTACACAATCTTTAAGATGGCTACACCAGTTTAATTTCCTACCTAAATAATTTTAGCCAGACTTTATAGAATAAAATTTTATAAAAAGCTTGCAGAATATTGTAAACATACCTTCAAGATAACCCATATTCAGTTTTATTTCTCTCCTTCAGCATGCAACCCTTTCCTTACCTACATATTCCATTATTATACATTCCCTTTGAAATTATTTTAAGCATCTGCCACTCATTTCTTTACAGTCTCAAGCAGTGTCAATGAACAAACCTAATCATGTCCACCTTGATATTTTTCTTTTTCTTTTTCCAAATTTAAAAATATTTGTTATTTCCATTCAAATGATCAGATTCTGTATTTATAAATTTGTAGTGGTATCAGCTAGAATGGCTGTGATTATGATATCCATCTACATAGGCACGAAGAAAATGAGAACTTGTTAGTATATTTCTATCCTGAGACTCATAAATGTTTTGCTCCCATTTAGTTAAGTTGTTATGTTTTATTTACAGGGTCCACTATCAAGATTCTACACTGAACTTTATCTCATTATTCTGTTGCTGTGTTTAAAATTCAGCAAAAATACTAATATATGTGTTGATATATTTTTAAATTTATTTCCACTTCTTATACCGAATATAATTTCCTTCTGTCCTTTTTTATTTTTATTTATTTATTTTAGACAGTCTCACTATGTTGCACAGGCTGACCTCTGTTCTTATACAAATAATTGAATTCAACTAAAGCAGTCAATTAAAATTGAGAGGATGGAATCTCAGATTATCTGTAATCAGTAATGAATATGTTTATGACTGATTATTCATATTTAAAATAAAACTACATAATTATCCTAATTCATGTGTCTCCTTAAGAATCTTTGAAGAGTCTTCAATGTCTTTCCTGGCTAAGTATGTTGAGCTCCCTCTGCTGGTCTAGTTTATAAGTGGTATATCTCATTTTTAAGTACAGCTCTTGTCCCATTTGAGGTTAATATTTAATTATTGGGAAAATATCTCCAGTAGATATTCTACTTTTTAGGACAGTTTTTGTAAATTAAGTTAATTCAAACAACACATTTTTTAGATTTTTCTTGCATATATTTAAAAGATATGTGTGCACAGTTTTTTAGCAGTATAAATTCAAATTTCTGTTTAGCTGTTAAACTCCTTTCCTAATGTTTGTTAATCTGATTAGTTTCATACAGTGCCAACCATTCTCACTTGAGTACAGTTTCATTATTTTACACATAGTCACCAAAGTTTTTTCTACAAATACTATGAGAATTTCAACTTTCCTATTTCCCTCATATTTGAGTCATATGTTATTACATATAATGAGATCCTTTAAGGAGTTGTTCAGCCTCCATTATTTAAAATACACATTCTTCTTAACAGATTTAACAACTATTGGAAGCTCCAGTTGTGTGTACCTATGCAACAATCTTGCATGTTCATCACATGTACCCCAAAACCTAAAATGCAATTAAAAAAAAAATAAAATAAAATAAAAAAAAAAAAACTAAAAATAAAACTAGTTTACCATCATTACTGTTTGGGAACATGATCTTGGTGAGAGAGGAATATCTGTCCTGTCTTTTAAACTGTGGTGATGAAGGGACCACATGATTATTTCAAGGAGGGAAAGCTTAAGATGTCCACATTAAGTAGCTCTTACATGAAGTGTGCTCCTGCAAACCTATGATGAGCTTCGGGTAAGGCTTATGTGCCAGGATGAAAACATTTGTTAAGTTTGGCTTTTTGTTCTCCCTTAAGCAAAGGATTTCTTTGGAAATATTTACAAAAACAAACTGCAATTTGGAGCATACACCCTGACCTGGCTGGTCTTTGGGGTGTCCACGGAACAAAATAAAAGGTTGGGATTTTATTGGTTCAGAGAAACATTTTGTAAAATGTTTTGAAAGAAAGTTCATTGGCCTAGAGAAATTTTTCTAGCTCTGTCAAACTGTAATTGTTGAGTGACAGTGGTGGGTAAAACGAAACTTGGTGGTAGGTAGAACTAATTAGAGGCATGGAAGGTGGTTTCAGCAGTTACCAGGTAAAACTGGTTTTAAGATTACAGCAAGTTATTTCTGCATCTGAGCTTGCCAGACAGTTCTTGGAGCAGGAGCTTTGAGACTTGAGTGCTTTTTCCCCATGATCCCTTAACTCCCATTTAGTTGGCTATGACTTTAATAAGTCCAAGTCATATCATCAATTTTCATAATTCATACAATGGAATATTACATAGCAACAACATGGATAATTCTCATAAACATAATTATGAGTTAAAGAAAGCAGACACAATACAATATGTACCATTTACTTCTATTTATATGAAGTTTAAGAACATAAAAGGCTTCTGAATTCTAAAAGATTATCTTTAGTGGGAGGTGGGAGGTGGTTGGTAACTGGTAGTGAGGAGGTACCACGGAGTCTTCTCCGTACCAGAATTATTCTATGTTTTGATCTGGGTGGTAGTTACATAGGTATATACATATGTCAGGATTATTGAATGGACACTGAAGACTTGCATATGTTATGAATGGCTGTTATATCTTAACTTAAAAGATTTAATTCAAAAGACAGTGAATCATAAACTTTTTTCCATTTTATAATGGGAAATGTTTTCCCTTTTTAGATATATATGTATATATATATAAAATAATATATATGTATATATATATACATACACACACAAATATATATACACACATATATATATACATATATACACACACATACACACAAATAAATATGCAAAGATGTGCATATTTATATATACATATATATATGTATATATATTTGTGTGTGTATATATATATATACACACACGTACACACAAAATTTATTTGTGTGTGTATATATGTATATTTTTATACATATATTTATACATATACATTTATACATATATT